AAGATTAACCTTTTGATTTAGGATATTTGTGCTTTGATGCACAGCTAAAGCACACTTGTTAATCTTAGCTTATATGGGGAAAAAAATCGCCTTAACCTTGAATAGAAAGGTGTTTTGAAGCTGTTGAGTTATTGCTGATGATGGGGAATGAAACAGGATCCTTTTATTGTTGAGACAAAAGAGTCCCTCCATCTGGAATTGTCAACCTTTGCATGTTACCTTCAGTCTGCGTTATAATGATAATGCCTTCTAGTTTGTAGCTTTCCAAATACTAAAAATGTCTACCATCTATATAAAGTGCTGCATGTTCCAAAGGAAGCCTGTTTCTTACTGTGTTAGCTTCATAGGTACCCCAAATCCACACTTCTTTTTATTTCCTCAATCCTTTAGTTTTGGTTTAGTTTTAAGCCTTCATAAGCAGAAAGGCCTGATGAAGTTAGCAGACTCCAGGTGGGTATGCCTTGAGGGTATCTGCCCAGCGCCTGTTCTCTCTTCCCCATCTCTTGCTGACATGTCACCCACCATATTTAAACAGGGAAATAAAGTGCTTTTTAAAGCTTTCAAGTGGATATTTACAACTGTAAACATCACCTCAAAATATTAGTGTCAGGCCATTGGCTAGTTTTGTTTCTTGTACTCCATTATGCTGCCTTGGGGGCTCATTTGTTTTCAGGGTCTCACATTAAATTGTTTTAAATATTAGCGCCTGGAAATGTCTGCTGTGGTGCTAAGGGCCAGATAATGAGCGTCTGCCTTAGCCCTAAAGCTCCAGAGGGGCATGTAAAAGCACAAAGCCTTCTGCAAACTGGTATTACACTGCCATTTAGCTTTACAAAGACAAATAGGGTGTAATGACCGATAGGTTAATTTTCTTGCGAAGATACGGGAAACCATAACAATCCGGATTGCGGAAGGTATCCCCGTTTTTTTTTCCTTCGGGGCTCTGTGGTTGGAGGTCACACGCACAGGGCCGGGCTGAAAGGTTGGGAGGCGTGGGGCAGGGCAGCTATTGGGCAGGGGGGTTGGGTCGAAGGCGGTTCGACTCCGGGCGAGTTGCTCCCGAAGTCAGGGTTTCGCTGGCCCGATTCCCCATCTCGCGGGGCCGCCAGCCGTCGGTGCCCGGCGCCCACAGTCTCCCGGACCCCACAGTCCGCCCAGAAGCGGGCGAGCTGACAGCACGGAGCAGGTGGGCGCGGGGAAGCGCAGACCTCCAACCTGGGGGGCGTCGTAGTCCCAGCCCTCCGCTCCCAGCACCGCAGCTTCTCAACTGCAGCTTCAGCCTCGCGACTCCCTGGGCAAGTGCCAGTGCCCAACCTGTAAGGAAATACCAGAAACGTTTGCCCTACCCCCTAGACTTCTGTTTGAAGTTCGAAGTCTGACCAAGTTTAGCCGTGCCTAGAAATCTAAATTCTAATCTAGGCATTCCCTGGAGTCAATTTGTCTCCAATCAAAGACCACTGAGCGACTGTAGCTCCATCTGGATCCTCTAGACTCTTTCCTGCTGGCGCCGAAAGGGTCGGGGACCAGAGATCCCGCCAGCTGTATTCGTGGTGACCTCCTTTTCTACTACTAACCAGGCAAAGCATCAACTAGCGAACGAAGTAAAAGGCGGCCTGTTCTTCCTCCACTCAGAGTTAAATCCAGTGAATAGAAAAATACTCTTGTGGTTGTTTCCCTATACCGTATTTACAAAACTAGGGTCAAAAGAGAACAGGCTTTAATTTGCATGTGTGAAATGGCATTAGAGCTAGTCACTACTGCAAAACTGTGTACCTGAAACTTAAACAGCATTAGTGATTACATTTTTATTAGAAATTACCTAAACAATTACTGAAATAAGTTACAGAGAATTTTTCCTTAAAAAGGCATTTCATTGAATTTCAAGTAAACATTCTAAAGCAAAACTAAACAAAATCAAAAACCTCCCCAAACTTCCCTCATCGTTAAACTTCGGAAAAGTAACCTGCAGGTCACAGAGGATCCATACTCACTGCAGAGGAGAGCTCCCGATGAGATGTGGATGCGGTTCCCCAGTCTGGGCATCTTAAATTTCCCAGATGCTTACCAATTCTGACTAGCAGTAAAAGGTTACTTATGTCTTATAAAACGTATCTGAGGTCCATGTCTCACTGGACTTGAGGGTGGCAAATGACAGCGTTTCAAAAAACTGTATTCGAATAATTAACACACAGAGGTCCACCCATGGTACCGTCGCATTAAACGGCAGAGTAGTATTCTCTGTGCTTTGAGTTGCATCTGAATTTGAATTTATGCTGCTACCATTTAATCCATTGTTTTCTCAGATGCACAAATTCATATCTAAAAATCCAACCTATACATCTGTAATTATGTAATTCACAAATTCATTTAAAAATCACTACTGTTCAGTGTCGCTGACAAAGCAAGTCTATGAAAAGTGCCTGCATTTAGCAAACAGGATTGAGTCTCTGATTTACTGATTTGAAAGTAAACAGTTACTACCAGAATGGAGTTTGAAGACATCTGTGTTGATAGACTGATTGACTGACTACTTGTTCTGACCTTTAAGTTGTGGTCCTAAGCAAAGCTTTAAATAGGACAACTGGGTTACACCCTCACCCTCTCATATACAAAACACCCTTCTTGTGTCCTTCAAAATTGCACACTCTCACATACTTCGATTTACATCCCAATGAAGACTACAGCCAAGTTGTAACCCCTCCAGTTCCTCTCTGCAACTTTCATTCTGCATTTTGGTTGTCATGCCTCTATTGGAAAAGATGTTAGACCCCAAAATGTATTGGAAAATGTCACATCTGCAGAGTTAAGCATTTCTGAAACCCGGTTTTGCCACAGCCCCAGCTCAACTTTGAGAGGGCTTTGTTCCACCCAGACCCTGCTCCAGTTCTCTCTCTTCGTTGTGGAGACACTTATCCTCCTCTTCAGTTAATGAGTTTCACCTAGTCTGGCCGTTTGTATTTTTATAAAAGATCTGCAAAGCACTAACTGCAAAAGAAGGGAAAGGCTCTTGCTTTGTATTAAGCAGAAAGTGGAATTCTATAGTAAAAACATTTTCTTTAATGTTTCAGGAATCAAACCTTTTCCTAATGTCAGGATGTGCCCAGTAAGTCTCTGGGTAGAGAATGTTAAGCCTCTGTGGCAATTACCTCAGGCTTGAAATTTTTATTATTTAAGGGAATGCTGAATGGGGAAGAAAAAAAGATATGACTACACTAAATACACATTCAGAGAATGCTGAATAAAAAGACTGTTTCTGGGCAACTCATTTTCAGGACCCCTCCCTGCTGCTGGGAGCTGTTACTCCACTTAAAAAAAAAATAGAGTTTCTTCATGATATCTTTTGTAGAATTCATTTAATTTAAAGGATTCTTTGTTATGGAAATAAATTATGGAGAATAAAACTACCATAAAGATTCATTTTCATTATCACTGGATGTTCACAAGCCATAAGCTATTGTTTTTGTAGGTGTTAGTCTGAAAAATAAATCATTGCAAACTATGTGGACTTTTATAACATGTTTTCTAGAGGTAATATAGAACCAATTGATATAAACAAAGCACTTTGAACTTGGGCACATCAGTAATAGCTGTACAGCATGGTTAACATTGATTTCTAAGGTTGATATATTAGTATGAAAAAACCCAAGTTGGGAGAGTTTTCTGTAAGTTTATTGCACTGTTTTTACACTAATTTGTGTTGAAATTATCTGTCTCTGAAATGTCTTTAAAATTAAATCTTCCCAAAATGCACAACAGCTTCATGATAAAGGACAATCTCTTTTGCTACTCAAGACACTTTCCCCTTGCCATGAAATGAACTGGAGTTTTGTTGTTGTTGTTGTTGATTTTTAAAGAGGATTTACTTTTATAAAGTACAGTTTAGAAAATATACAAGTTTAACTTCTATACCACCCTCCTATACCTTCGCTTTGCATTTTAGAAAACTGCTCAAACAATAAAACGAAATAAAATGTTTCAAACCAAATTTGTTCTTCTAAAACTTCAAGTGTGTGGAAGATCAAGGGGTTTGAGACTCTGGTGACCATCTGTTTTGATCATTTGAAAAATATGTTTTAACCATATTATTTAATTAATTTTATAAGCTCACATTAATCAGTTGTCTCTGTTTTTTTCTCCAATATCATTATTTAAAACATTATTTTAAAATGAGCTGTGTTGTCGCATTCTGCCCAAATTAAAAAAAAAAAATCCCTATACACTTAATGAAAAAGGAATGACCACTTGACTTTTAGGAAAAAGTACTTCAGGTTTTTTTTTTTAAGTTATATTTAAATATCCATTTGAAACATTGGAAATATAAATTGGCATATTAAAGAGTAAATACATTATTTATACAATAAAACACCAACAAAATCGGTGCAACTCCTATTAAGCTCTAAATATGATGGAAATTATAATCATCTTACTTTTTCTGTATATCTTGATTACAATTCAATAAATCACCTTGTTCTCTTCTAGACAGACTTTGAAATAGATTAATGGCAATTTTAGCAAATTTACTTGCTTGTTCTAATACTTTATCAAGGAGTTCCAATTCAATCAAAAATACTTTAAAGAGTAAATATCATGTTTATAGGATACAGTACGTTTATCAGTTGAACTTGAAAGACCAGATTCCACATGAAAGTATTTTACAACCCTTCTTTCTCATGACGAGCTGCATCTTGGGGTGAGGGATTATCGACTTCTAGGATAAGATACAAACACTTGTTTGCCAAATAATGAACAAGGTGTTGAAAAACCAGCATTAAAATTTAAAAACTGTATTAATCCATATTCAGGATTTCTATTCTTTTTATTCCATTGCTCTATTTTACCCAAATGGCAGTAATTCCTCAGCATTAATGCTGCTATGTATACGATCCACTTTGGGCTACAATTCAATTTAGTTTCAATCAAGCATTAATGAAATTGCACTTGGGGGAAGGGACTTTGAAAATTAATCTCCCAAAATAAATTCCACTTCGAGGATTCATCGTGAAAGCTGGTTTTTAGAGCTACAAACACCCACCAAGTTTCCGACTTTTAAAACTCTTGAGAGCTTTGGCTAGGAACATGGTGAATGTGGATTCGGTCAGCTTTTCGCATAATTTAGGGACTTCTGGAGGGTGGAAATCACCACCTCCAAGTGTGGTGTCCCACCATTCCGTCCTGGGCTGTCTCCTACCCCCAGCAGAGGTTCGGAGCCTGCCCCTCTTAACTTCTTAACTCCATGCACTAAAGGGGTCAGCTTGCGCACGTTTTCCCCATCCGTCCTTGCAGTGACTTCAGACCCTGCGAGCTGCAGGCAGTACCGAGGGGGCCGGTCACCACGTCCTGCCATAGAGCAGGTTGGCGCCCAGCACGCCTCCACCATAGTCCCCGGTGGCCGCGTCCAGGGCCGCTAGGCCACCCCCGGGGCCGTGCAGCGCAGGCGGGCTGGGAGACAGCTCCTCCAGCTCAGGGGCGGGCGTCGGGGCCTGCGGCTGCTGGCCCGCCTGGCCAGGCGTCTGTGTGCCCGCGCCGTTCTGGCACGGCTTGCCGTCCTTGACCAGCACCGGCACGGCAACGCGGCGCGGCGACGGCGGCGGCGGCGGCGGCGGGGGGCCCAGGCCGCCCTCCTGCTGCAGCTGTTGCGCCGCCTTGTCCTTGGCCTGCCTCTTCATCTTGTAGCGGTGGTTCTGGAACCAGATCTTGACCTGCGTGGGCGTCAGGTGGATCATACTGGCCAGGTGCTCGCGCTCGGGCGCCGACAGGTACTTCTGCTGCTTGAAGCGCCGCTCCAGCTCGTAGACCTGCGCTTGTGAGAAGAGCACGCGGCGTTTCCTTCGCGGCGCGGCAGCGTGCAGCGGAGCCAGCGACTTGGCGGCGTCCGCGATGCCTGTCAGCGAGCCCATGCCGGCCACGTTCACGCCCGCCGACGGCCCCATGAACCTGGAAACTGGGGAAGGGGCCCAAGAAGGATGGTCGGTGAGCTGGGGGCCCGCGGGAACCCCTCCCGCCAGCATCCCGCTCGCTTTCCACAGCGGCGGCCGCGACGGCACGGGGCCCCTCTGGGCCGCTGGACCCCCTGCCACCGCGACCCAGCGGGGCCAGCTCTGCAAAGCCCCCGGGTTGCCCAAGAAAGCTCTAGAGTCCCAGGACCCCCCGTGCGTCCCGGGATGAGGCCTAAGAAACCCTGCGAGTCCCACGAACCCCAGCGTGTCCCAAGTCGTGACCCAGAAACCCTCAAGCGTCCTAAGCCGTGGCCCCCCACCCCTCACGCGCCCCGAGCGTCCAGAACTCTCCGCGCGCCAGCCCTCGGGCGCCGCTGACTGGAACGCCAACCCTCTTGGTCCCCGGCTGTGGCGGGAAAAGCCCGTCTAGCCCGTTTGCCCTCAGTCCCGCGTTTCTGGCCCCGCTCACTTGACGAGTAGCGCGGGTCCGTGTTGGCGCCGTACCAGCCGGTGGCTGCGGCGGCCGCGCCGCCCCGCATGCCGTCCGTGTAGGCGGGCAGCTCGCCCATGTTGCCCAGTCCGCCGTTGCAGTAGCCGCCCATGGCGCTGTGTGGGAACTGAGAGACGCTGGGCGGCATGTGGTAGGTGGCGGCCGCCGCCGCCGCG